CCCAAAGGTGGATTTTTGCAATGTAGTGTGTATATTAAAAATCAGTATCTCAAGCTCCCAGGAGTCTTCCGCTACTTAGGAATAGCAATAGCACTTAGACTTATATACCGCTTCACAGTGCTTTACAGCATCTCTAAGCAGTTTACAGAGTCAGCATATTGCCCCCAACAATCTGGTTCATTTCACCGACCTTGGTAAATGTTAAATGCAGTCTTTGGTCGGCTCAATTTTACTCAATCCATGGAAGTAGCTGCGAATAACCATTCATTTGATTAAGGCAACAGTGCGACACTCAAAATGTAGCCTTCCATCAGCTCATCAATGGAGTCAATATCACAGTTTGGAATGGGATGAAAAAGCTCCAAGCAAGCTAGAGAAATTGTTAATTGATTTCACTAAATTTAGGAGACCACCTGTAATTGGCACAAAGCATTAAATGAGGCAGAGTTACTACAGAATAATCACGGAGTCACTTCTACAAAAAAGAAAAACAGGAAAGAAAATGGTGAAGGAAAAGAAGGACAAAATAACTCCAAAAGAGGATGAAAACTTTACAAGGGTATATATTTTTGGTATTTTTAAGGGTTCTAATATGGGCCGTGTGATACCTTCTTCCAGGTGCACTGCACCTCAACTCCAAACATAGCCAACGTGGCTAAGAATGATGAGAACTGTAGTCCAAGTGTTCTGGAGGGATCCAGAACGGAAAGAATGGAATGGAAAGAACGGTCACAGAAGCAATTGGATTAGGCATTTACTTTGCTAGCTTGCATTGTCAAACTATTTGCTGAATCAAAAGTTAAAATGTAAGTCTCCGCTTCAGATTATCAGGGCAACAGGCAGCAGGTCAAGCTGAGATTCCTTTCAGTTTTATTTTAACTGGGGAAAAAGGCAGGTCATCCCACTGCTTTATTATTCCAAAATAAGTTTTAATAACTACCATTACTGCATTAATATGTTGGAGCAGATTGCAAGCATACCCATACATTTTCTAATTTAACTCAGTAGCAACCTAGCTCTGTGGAATTCTCTTCCCATCTCAGCCCTCATGCTGGCCTTTAGTCACAAAAGGTCTATGTAGGTCCATTTGTTCCTAACCCAATCATCCCTCTTTGCTCCATCAGTCCATGATCCAAGAGCCAAATAAAAAGGAGGAAAAAAATGAGGATTCATTACTCTTTCCATGCACTGTTGCAACACACTCTTCCCTCCCTCCACTGTCCAATTAACAGTCATTCCTAGCATCTTGTCAAAACTATTGCTACTCAGAAAGACTTCTGCAAGACCACCAACACCCCACATTTCAGTGCATTCTTCAGACCACTGCAACTAATCTATCCCTTGTGTGGCTAATATGTCAGATGACCTCACCATTTCCTTTGTGAAATTCTTCTCCGATCCCAGCAGGTAGGGTGTGATGAAACTCTCCCCAGGTCTAATCTGGCCCATGAAGCCGTAGAAACAGAGGTAGCCAACAAGGAACTTCCAGCGTGGGTCTGGTGGAGGGTCAGGAGGCTGTTTTTCCATTTTTTTAGCCTCTTCAGACATAACTCCCTGGTAGCTTCTTGGTCACTTTGAAAAGATTCTTGTGGTGAAAGCCACAGTGCTGATTTACTGTTTGTTCGGTTTCTCTTTTCACTGCTGTGTAGAAACTCCAACATGCAGAGGTATGCCTCGCTGGTATGTCTGTAAAAAAAGTGGGGGGAAAAAGGAGAGAAAGTGGCACGTCAGAAAATTTCCTGGTGAGAAGATCACAAATTAATCCCTACCTTCATCTTGCCAGGAATGTGCTGGCTTTGCAATATTTCCTGAACAAAATTGTGCTCAGTTTCCACAAATGTCTTCTATGGTCTAGCAAATATTTACTTGATACTAGTGACCAACACAGTGGAATGTCAAGTCAACCAGGTCAGAATATTTCTTTTCTTTTCTTTTCTTTAAAAAAGTTTTTTTTTTTGAGGAAATCAGGAAACCCAAATAAAGAAACATGGAAAACTTTGGTGAAGCAAAGTTTATTCAGCTGTACTGCTATCTTTATAAATAATAACTAATGCTAATATCATTTCTTCATCTACTACATTGAGGACAGACAAGGAGGCCAAAAATGTAAGAGCATACAGGGTTCCTCACAATGGAGGAATGACTTGAACTACACATAAACTCAACACTACAATACAGAATAGCATTCTGTTATACTAAATTCTCGTACTGGAGAAGACTCCTGCGAGTCCCTAGGACTGCAAGGCAATCAAACCGGTCAGTCCTAGAGGAGATCAACCCTGACTGCTCTTTAGAAGGCCAGGTCCTGAAGATGAAACTCAAGTACTTTGGCCACCTAATGAGAAGGAAGGACTCACTGGAGAAGAACCTAATGCTGGGAAAGATTGAGGGCAAAAGAAGAAAGGGACGACAGAGAATGAGGTGGAGTCAATGAAGCAGTAGGTGTGAGCTTAAAAGAACTCCATAGAATGGTAGAGAACAGGAAGGCCTGGAGGAACATTGTCCATGAGATCATGATGCGTCGGAGACAACTTCACAACTAACAACAACAATACTAAATTCTGATCATAATATTGCAATAATTACCAATTTAGAAAGTACAAAGACACCTTCAAGTCAACTTTGACATCTTGTGATTTCATGTTCATATCCACACTTTTCTTGCCAATGCAGAAATATTTTCCTGTTGGCTTTTTTGTGTGCCTGTTTAGACTTTCCTGTCTAGCTTACATTGTTGAAATATCGTGGTAGTTTCCTACCTGTATTCTGCCTAATCTTGAAACTCAAGGAAAGTCAGTTGGTGATACATCTGTGAACATTGATAATTAACAATTTCTTATTCACTCAGTTTTATCTCAGTTGAATCTTATTCTAGTTAGGGTGCTGTAATGCACTAGGCATAAAGCTGTCTTTCAAGGTTAACTGGAACTTTCAGCCACATCACATGGCTACAAAAAAGCTCTCACTAGCATCCAAGACAAGCCTGCCAAGAAAATTGTTGCTTAATGGTCAAGGAGAAAGTCCCAGTTTCTGTTAAAGACAAGAAAGGATTGGATAAGCATTACTAAGTGATGTAGATCAATGATTTAACTCAATAAAAGACATATTCCTATTTTTCTAAGAGTTGCACTAGCAACTGCAATGTGTTGAACGGTCTATATTTCACTACAGACGAGGCATTTTCCCCACTAACAATTTATAGCATCCTCTAAAAGAGTGTTTTTAAAAATATTTTGCAATAGGATCCCTGACCACTTTTAAAAATTAGAGGATGCCAAAAGAACTTTTGTTTGTGCGGGTTAAATTTATCACTGTTTTACCATATTAACAATTGATGCAGTCATAGAATATTTATTGAATCATGTAAAAATAATATTAAACCCATTCTATATTAACATTAATAAAATATTTTTCATGAAAAACCTTATTTTTAACAAATTTAAATAATGAGGAGAGTGATGTTAATTTAAGAGTTTATAAATATATTTAATATCTTACAAATAATTTTTATTTCAAAGACCCCTGAGATGGTCTTGGGGAATCCTCAGGGCTCCTTGGATCACATTTTAAGAAATACTGTCCTAGAGTCATCCATTTATCATTGCCCAAAATAACAGCAAGGACATGCTTTCTATTATTTTTAACAACAGCTGGTTGATACTTTGATGAGATTACAAGTGACTAGTAGGAAAATAGCTTGAAACCTGGTACAAGAATGGCCTGAATAGTCAAGATCACACACTCAGGAAAGTTTTTAATTATTACCACAGGAACCTGCAAAGCTTGCAATTATTACATTTCAGTTACTCTTAATAAAGTTTTAAGGACTTTAGACTTAAGCTATATGACTATAAAGAGGAAAAAATCCCTAGTCACAAGCAGAAAGTATTTGTATCTAAAATTAAGGAAAAGACTTAAAAATAGAAAATAGATGTTTTATCTGCTGCTTTCCCAGAACTCTACACACGCTCTCATTGAACAAATCATCAAGGATAGCTGTCCATCTTTTCCCATGCCTATTCAGAAATAAGGCCTGTTCTGCTAAGAGGACAGATTAATGGAAATGGGACTACAATATGTATTAATTCACCTTCCCTATTTTTGACAATATAGTGACAGATTTAAAATGTAATGCAATGTACTGACTGGCAAAAGTGAGAGATAACTAATGTACATCCTCTCTTATTCTCTGCGTATTTTCGCAATCTGTTTCAATATTATGGAATGGGTTTCAGTTTTCCTCCCACAAGGAAAAACAACTCACCAAACTCTGTACAGTGTTTAAATCATCCTATAGAACTCAGTTCTATATGAAAGTTGTACAGTATATGAAAAATGGACCCTTCATTGCAGAATTGATGCTAGCAATTTGCTGCTGTTATGGTCCAACCATTAAAGAGAGAACTACTCTACACACATGGATAAAGAAAAGGCAGGGCAGTTGAATACCACACAGATTGATTAACAAGCTGTTGCGCATCATATGAGTTAATGGGGAAATGATCAAATATATCTCTTAAGAGATCCATATTGTAATTGGATCCCACCTTCAACCTCCTCCAGATTGGATTACATTATTTCATAGAGTCGTTACTCTGTTTTGCCTTTTGTTTACGTTTTACCCATTTATGGGAAAGCTATTCTCAGTTATTACCATCTCCTTTATAGACATCTTAACATATCTCTTAAAGAAAAAAAACATGAAGTACTGAACACGTGGAGATCTCTAGGAAGCAATTACTAATACTGGTTTTACTTCCCTCTGCTCCCAGTTTTTAAATCTGCTGCCCCATTCTGTTTCCTAAAAGACCACTTTTGACTACACTAGAAGGTTTCACAAAGGCTTCAGTCATTCCAGGATCCACTCAAGTCTCCTCCAGCCTCTCCCCAAAGTCATGGAAAATGAATAGCTGAGTTCATTATATATCTCTGATAAGAGCTTTATAATGTGCTCAAGTTCTAAAGAATCAACAAAGCTTTACATATCCAAAAAATTACCCCACTCTTCAAGCATATTAGTAGCCCCCTCCTCCAATCCTAGAAAGTCAAACTTTAAAAGCCACAAGAGCTCCCTTTATAAAAAGAAACCATTGGATGCCACCTTCTAAAATTCTGAAATCCAGAGAAGTTGGATTTTTCTCACTACTGCTACATATTACCTGTATTTAGCCAAAGAATTGCCTAAAAAGAAAAGTGGCAGACTAGGTTTAACAAGTCAATTATTGCTTTGTCAATTTATTTCCTAAAAGGCCTCAAAATAGCATATACGAACGTTACAGGTGATCATCTCGGAGCAAAGTTCAAACCTGCTTAATTGCACAAGACAGAAATAAAGTCATTCTCCAAGTCAGTATGCACACCTCATTTTGTTGTGCTTCGCTTTATTGTCCTTTACAGATATTTGATTTTTTTTTACAAATTAACCTTTTTTTTAAGCAATAAAGTTTTTTTTTAATCATGTTTGCACACTATTTTTTTAGACCTAATGCTATTGCACACTTAGCAGACTGCAGCATAGCACAAACATAAATTTTATATGTACAGGAATCACAAATTTGTGTGAGACGAACCCGCTGTAACTGTGAGATATGCCTGTAGTCGCCTTTACCTCAAAAACAAACCTTTATTCTGATTCAAATATGTTGTATTTATGGTCAGCAATTTGATGCTAATTAAGTCTTTGCTATCCATTACTTTTTTTCTCTTAAATGTACCCTGCACTTAAGCCATTTGTATCTTCTGTTTTGTAAGCAGACCATGGATTACCATAGATAACATGCTTCTGAAGACTGGGGAAGAAGGCCTCACAAAGCATCAGGCCAGGCATGGCGCCAGCAGTGGGAACAAGAAGATGGCAATAGTCAGCTGGGGCAGTGGAGCACAAGGAGGCAGGAGACATGAAGGGCAGGGTGCCTGAGGCTGGGTTTGGGGTGGCTATAGCTGCCCAAGGTAGCTGCAGTTTCATGCTGGGCCATGGCTTCTTGCAGCCCTTAGAGAGCTGTGGCGTGCCACATAGCCTCAGAACTGTGAAGCCTCAGGAGTGGCGTCTGGCTAATGACAGACAGGATTTGATTCATGACAAAACAGAGAATGCTGGATTGCCATCACTAAGTGATGTGTTCATGTAACATGGAGATTTATAGCAGCATCACTTAAGGATGGAAATCCTGGTCTCAAATGTAGCTCACAATATTGTAGTCCTTAGTAATGACTGGTTGATTAGTGATTGCTTGAAATTACAACTCATCCCCCCCTCCCCCAAAAGTGGCACAGTTCCAGCATTCCGATGGCGGTACTTCGCTTACAGTCACATGACCTAATTTTTGGCACTTGGCAACCAGGCTTTATGGCCAGGTGCAGCATTCTGTGTTCGTGTGAAGTGATTTACAATGGGTTTTTTTGCCAGAAAAAAAACAAAACGCCCTTTAGAACGCATTGACTCACTTAACGACTGTGCTATTTGCTTGACCACCACTGCATTAGCTTTACAATCATGGCTTTCACTTTATGACTACCATGAAAAAGGTCATAAAATCTGATCAATCATGTGATGTCTCATCTTACAACCATCATGGTTTACCATGGAAATTCCAGGCTCCGTTACGATTGTAAGTTGAGGACTACCTGTACCTGTACTCCAAATTAAATATGTCACATGCAGGTTTTTATCTAATTTTAACTATACTATAACTGTATCACGTACTGCAAAAAAACACATATCTTGCAAAATGGGTACAGAATAGTAAAATTACTGTATATGTAAACGGTGCTTTTTCAAATGGCAATTGGACTTTGTTATTTCCTTGAAAATGACCTTTTGCTTCTTCAGTGGCCTCAACAGCTCTCAGAAAGAGTACTAACAACCACAAGGGAATCTAAATCCTTCCATCCTCCTCTCCCACAAACCACCCAGTCAAAACTGAAGAAGCTTCTTGGATGAGAAGCAAAATATCTTCCTTAAGGAGAAAACAAAATCCAGTTTCCTTTTGAAAAAGCATCTAAGGCAACCATGACCTGGATGACTAAGAATCTCCATAGAAATTTAGTTATATGTGAAAGAAGATACCAACACATACAATCTATGGTATCTTATTAGTACATTTTTGTAATAAACCCCCAACTAGATTTTGGCTTGCGGAACTAACCAAAGTTAGGCTTGCTTAATACATGGATGAGGAACCACCAGAAAATAGCAAAGCTAAAACTAGACTGGGAAGTTTTCAAAACATCCTAGCAGGCATACTGGTAAACCAATTTCCACACAGTTTCCAATAAAGCTAGAGAGACATCACTTACAGTATATGAAATCTCCAGAAGTTGACTTTGACCTGAAGGAGAGTTTACATTACATACTCACCATTAACCGATATAAATGAGGCTTGATGCCAAGGTAAACAACTACAGGATTTTTGTCCTAGTCTGAAATCCTATGCCAATCTCTATGGGGTAAACAAACTCAATGCACTTATAAAAGCAGAGCAAATATGCAAATATACTGCTAATCTTTTCAAAACTTTTTTATTTAGAGGACATGGAATTGGTCTCTTTCAATAGCCATTAGAACAGTCTTTAAATAAAAATACTGAGTAGACTTCTACTTGATAGTGTCCTACTGGAATCAACAGTAGGTCTGAATTTTTCATGACTAACAAGCTTCATTGATTCTTATGAATTTATTCTGTAGTATGGATAAATCTGAATGTTGTCCAATGATGTTGTTCTAAATTAAATGAAAAATTCTATATTGCTGTAAAATTAAAACAATGAGTGTATTTGAATTGAAGGCACTTGGGTCTTTCTCCACCCAAACACACATGAAGGCTCATGGAGACTCAGAACAAACATGCATATGTCAGGAAACTCTCAAAGAACTATCACCTGGACCATTAACTTCCAACTGAACTTTAACCCTCGGGGTAACTGAGTCACTCATTTCCAATAATGCAGAGCACTCGGAATATAGGTTCCTAAAAAACAGATTAAAAAAATGTTTATCCTACTTCAATTTGTAAGCCACGCAAGTTACATTTTTCAAACAATTGAAGAGGGTAATTCTATGGCCCTTCTATTCTGGCATTCACTATAGCTTAGTTACCCCAGCTTGATGCACTTGATGTATGAAATTTGTTTTTCCAGAGCACACAAGGCCTTTCCAATATTCTCTGTTATGAATGCCAGTTTGTTACTGGTTCCATTCAAGGCAGAAGCCATTCTTCTCCTTACATGATCTTACCAACTGACTATGACTGCCCAGCATCCGAACCATAGTTGGTAGGCACAAGGGAACAAGACTTCCCCCTGGCACCAGCCATAACTGGATGGCCATGTAATCCTGAAGAAGGATGGGCTATGAGCTATTTCCCTGTAGTGTGGTGGATCTTATGACTGTAACTGAGTTTGGTCTGCTTTTTCCTTGAAATATAATAGGGTTTTATTACTGTTTCTTTGGCTATTTGATTATTTGGATTTTTTTTCCAATTCTAATGTGTAAAACAATTAGAGCTGCTTCTGTGGCTAGGTCAGCATTTTGCTGAAGTGTGTGGTGTAGGAAAAAATAAAAAAGTCATGATGGCACCCCTTTTTTATCTGTGCTACAGATATGATGCAGGTAGTCTTCGACTTACAACCATTTGTTTAATGACTATTCAAAGTTACAACAGCAGTGAAAAGTGACATGACCAGTTCTCACACATATAACCACTGGGGCACCCCACAGTAATGTGATCAAACTTCAGGTACTGGGCAACCAGGATGCCTTTACAATGGATTGTCATTTCCAATCTTCCTAGGAAAGTTTTGATAAACCAAGTCAATGAGGGAAGACAGATTTGCTTAACAACCGCATGATTTGCTTAAGAACCATGGCAGAAAGATCATAAAATGGGGCATGGCTCCTTAATAACATGGCTCCATTCCTTGCTTAGCAACGGAGATTGTGGACTCAATTATGGTTGTAAGTTGAGGATTACCTGTATGACAAGGCATTAATTGCATAGTCACAGCTGCCATTTTGACTTTTAGGAGTCCCCACCCTTGCAGATGTCCCTAAAATTGGTTAAATAATAAAAATTGTTTTCCCATAACATACAATATGTTCATTTTGTCAATTCAGTTCTCCATATTCCCTCCGGAAATTCATCTTAGTGTTGGTGGGTTATTTTTAACTTTTAAATTGTTTTTTCCTCTGTAATTACAATTCTCTATAATTCTGGTTTTGTTTTTAGTTTCCTTTTTTTCTATAACCATAGTTCATAAACTTTATCCTGGAAATCAGTTCCCGATTCCCTGAATTTTGCCAGTTTCAGAATTGTGTCATTTGTCCTGCAGGGTTTCTAGTTTAAATATCTGAAATAAACAGTTAAATAAACTCTGCCCAGTGAACATGTACAGAAACCGAGCCAGGAACCAGATAGCTAGATAAGGTTTATGGGGCGGCTTCTGGAAAGTAATAAACACAAAGGCAACAGTCAACTAGCCATCACCTGCAAGTCATTAGAAGTGGCTTAACCCCAATTAATCCTAGTAAGTATCATTTATGAGTGATTGCTTGCACCCCTATACTTCTTGCAACAAAGATATGAATTTTGCTCAGTCAGAATTCAAGTCTAAAGTATTTATTGTAATAAAAGAAAAAAATCATGCACTGTTAAACATGGCCAAGTTAAAAGACTAATCACAACCTATCTAAGACAGGACTCTCCACTTTGTCTCAGTCCAACAATTTTCTAGCAATAAGATAAAAATGTGTGACTTTAGAAGTTGTTGAACTATAACTCCCATTTTCCTGATTTAACAGGGCCTATGGTGAGATACTAAGAGATCTGGAGTACATTGACATCTGGAGGTCTTCATACTGTCCATATGCATGCTAGCACAATCATGTGCCAATTCTACACCAGCAGGTCTTGTCGGACTCCTAACTGGGCCATATATGCAACTGTGTATTATTGTCCAAAATCATAAAGCAGATCAGGATTAGTCACCCCCATTCTGTAGAAAAGATGGTGCACAGTTAACACTCATTCTGGCCTTTTTCCAACAGAGCACATAGATCGGTAGACAAAACAGCCTGTTGATCACGTGACACACCAAAGACCAAATATTCATTTTAACTTTATCATGCATGTTTGGCATATACTGCAACTACATTCCAACAATCTGAAACCACAACCTTAAATTGAAGAAGGTATAAATCTTTTGAAATGCAATGAAATCTATTGTGTGAAAACATGTTTCCCACTGTTACAAGTAAACTGTCTAGAAAGGCTAAAGCCTCCTAATTTAGCTAGGTTTCTCAACCATGAATGGCTCTTAAATGCATGTATTATATTGTTATTGTGTCCTTAAAATATAACATAAACTGCATTTGATGAAGGGGGGCGGTTAACTGAACTTGCTGTATGGAATACCTGTTGAAAGAAGCCTAATTATTTTTAACATTCCAATTTTGTTGCCTTTGATACTTGTATCCAACTTTTTTAAAAAAAGGTAATTAAAGGCATAAAATTGATAATTAAACAAAATGTTTTTAATTCATTACTTCCCATCCGCAAATAAGATAAAGCTTTGAATACAATCACTTGCCCTTTCCTAATCTCCGTTTCCCAATAAGATTACCTCTGTGCACTCAGGACCAAATAGATGCTTCTGTCCCCTGTATCTTCTCTTTATCACAGAAGTAGTGAACAATTAGCGGGGATGCAAACGCGACAAACTAGATCCATAACCACGAGTTGTGTACTATAGTCCAACTTAGTGCAAGTGCGCCTTGTTATTCTGCACCCAGTACACAGCAAGTGATCACCATTCCCACGCACCCTCCCTCCCTCCTTAAGAAGATAAATAACCTGGATAAGGCACATCGCTGTCCTGCGGTTTCCAGGTGGCCCGTGGATATTCTCTGCCAGCCTAAACTGCCCGTTTCTCCGATGGGTCTCCGAAGTGTTCTGCCTCTGCCTTACCTCGCTCTTTTAATCCATTGGCTCGGCTTTATGAACGGGGCACGAGTCCCGCGTTTATTACGCGAGAGAGATTCCCTGGCTGCAGGCTCTTGCCTTACAGACCTATCGCCCAGACTAATCCGCAGTTGTCGCACGTGGAAGGCGGGAGGGACTCACGGCTCCTTGGGAAGTGTAGTTCTTACTGTGGGTAGGACAGGGCAAGAGCGCCATTAAACTACTATTCCCACAATGCAAGCAGGGCGGAAAAGGAGCGATAGAAATATGTGCGTGTATGTATGTATGCCTTGATCTTTAATCCAAGAAAACGACGCGTCCTGTTGGGAATAAAGTGATCATCGCGCTCCCGAATATTATCAGTCTGTTCTTACCCTCCAGTTGCAATCCACAACCATTTACTTGGTAATAACCAAGTGTGATTATATTCGTATAACATTGGAAGCCGCAAGTCACTGGCAGACCCACGTTGGGTGTGTTTATACAAAATCAAAACAACACTGCATTGTTATAGTCGTGATCCATCTTCCTAAGAGTTAAATGACTTTTAAAAGGCAAAGCGGTTTCTGTTAAGATTACGCATTCGTTTACTTTCAATATGCTTTCGTTTCTTTTTCTCTTTTTTAAGATAACACGGAGCAGCAATTATAAAGCACACACATGGGATGGGCATGGAAAGAAGGACAAACGACATGATATTTTACTTACAATTAAAGTAACACACATGGCCACAATCCATCCAATCCTCTCTTTAATCTAGGGTCTAACTATCTGAGAGCACTTCTAATGCTGACGTGAAGAGAATTCCATTTCCGGGCTCTTTATCATCATAGGATGCCTGCCTTGGGTAGTGAGGTTGTTGAAGGTTTTATGTTCTTGTCAAGGCTTGCCAAGGAACAGCCCATCTGTACTTGGTGAGTTACTTCCCTGCCCTTGTAGCCGCTGGACTTCTCCACTAGAGTTCACAAGCGTCCCATCTTTAATCCTTTAGCTGATGAAACAGGACAGAGTTGGTGCGCACTTTCTCTAACCTTAGACAAGCTTGTTTGCAGACAGTGGCGACTGACTCTTAAATTTACATTGCAAAGGAATAAGAACACCCTAGAGCCTGATTCTTTTTTATTGCTTTTCCATGCAGTTTCTTTACGGTACTACCGAAGTGGCTTATTGTTGCTTTCTTTGCAGATATTTTTTTTCCCCAACTTCCAGCCTGGAATTCCCAGGAGTCACCCATTGAAAAGCCTCACTCTACATTGGCCAAAAAGAGAGAGCGGAGGAAAGCAGAGCTTTTGATCAGGAGATAGGAGAACGTTTTTTGCATAATGCTTTAATAACATTCTGAAATGTATCTTCAGCTTTAGATGCAGGACCCTTGCTCTTCCTAATGTCAGAAAATAAGGATGTTGAAAAGGGGTTTGGCAGCTTAATTTCCAATTCTCCTGCATTGGTCAGTTTCATTAATTTCCCCGTGCTTCCCCTAAATTAAGAGTCCACTTTAGGACTCAACTAACCTCCCTCTACTCTGGAACAGTTTTTCTCAGAATTGTGGCATTAGGAAGGGCATCTGGCCAGTAAATGCTCATCTCCATCCAGTATTACCGACTGGTAAGAGATTAGAGGGTTGTAAAAAAAGGGGGGGGGGCTCCCATAAGGTGCTTCTTTTGTATGCATTCATGCTCGTGCCTTTAACTTGGGAGTAAAGTACCACCAATATGCTGATGATACTCAGTTGTATCTTTCTACCCCGTGCCAGCTCAGTGTAGTGGTGGACGTGATGTGCCGATGCCTGGAGGCTGTTAGGATCTGGATGGGGGCAAACAAACTTGTGCTCAGTCCCGATAAGACTGAGTGGCTTTGGATGTTGCCCCCGAAGGACTGCTTGGACAGTCCATCCTTAACCCTGGGGGGTGAAAATTTACACCCCTCAGAGAGGGCTCGCAATTTGGGAGTCCTCCTGGATTCGCAGCTGAAATTGGAACATCATCTGTCGGCTGTGACCAGGTCGGCCTTTGCCCAAGTTCGTCTGGTGCACCAATTGCGGCCCTATTTGGACCGGGAGGCACTTCTAACGGTCACTCACGCCCTTGTCACCTCGAGGCTGGATTTCTGTAATGTGCTCTACATGGGGCTACCCTTGAAAAGCGTTCGGAGACTGCAGTTAGTTCAGAATGCGGCCGCGCGAGCGATATTGCGTGTGCCGAGGTACACCCATGTAACACCTGTCCTCCGTGAGCTGCACTGGCTACCAATTGGTCTCCGGACTCAATTCAAGGTTTTGGTTATCACCTTTAAAGCCCTACATGGCTTAGGGCCAGGGTACCTTCGAGACCGCCTGCTGCCACATACTTCCCAGCGGCCAGTAAGATCCCACAGATTGGGCCTCCTTCAGATGCCGTCAGCCAAACAGTGTCAGCTGGTGGGCCCTCGGAGGAGAGCCTTCTCTCTGGCTGCTCCGACTCTCTGGAACCAGCTACCCCCGGAGATCCCTGTTGAGGTCCAGCCCTGATTAGAATGAATGTGTGAGGGTTTTCTTTTATTGTTATGTGGGTTTTTTTTACATTTTTTGTAAGCCGCCCGGAGTCCTTCGGGATTGAACGGCATATAAATATAATTAATTAATTAATTAATTAATTAAATAATTAAATAAATAAATAAATAAATAATAAGAGTTTTTGACTCTTGGCAGCAGGACAAGTGTTACCAATATCAAAGAAATGGTGGAATAGAATCACTAAAGATGCAAAAGGCGGAACAGAATAAAATGTGAATGGCAACAATTAAAATGTTTATTTATTTATTTAATTTAAATAATTAAATAGAATTGTTACATTGTCCCGCAGCACGTTGTCCCCTGGCGAGCTGGCCATGGTGAGTTGTCTGCAGCAAGTTGTCCCCTTCCCACCAAACTTTGGGTAAGGTAAACTGAACTCTAGTATTTTATGCTGAATTGTGACCTTTAAAAAATTTATCCACTTAATGATTTATGACATTTTTTGCAGCAGTCATTAAGTAAATCACCGTGGTTGTTAAGCAAACACCATGGTCGTTCTGCAAATCCTTTGCCTGGAATGCACATTTTTTTGGCCATAAACCAGAAATAAATGCCAGTTTCCAGCAAAAAAACATTCTAAATTGTGGTCATGTGGCAAGAAGACACTGAAAAAGGTCATAAATGTAGGCTAGTTGCTGAGCGGCACAAATGTGATCATGTGACTGGGGGGGGGAATTACGATGGACTTCCCTGGGGAAGTCCATCGTAACTTCAAAGATTCACTAAGTGACTGGTTGTAAGCCGAGGACTACCTGTAGCCATAAGGAGATATGAGGGCTCAGAAACACTGGTAGCTGATCCCCATGCAGTTTTTGTCTAGGTAGAAAGCAAGCAAGCACAATTCTAAGTAGGCACAGATGGAATCAGTGAAACTAAAAAAAGCACCAGCTGCTGAAGCGTGACTGAAAGCTGGATCCTCATGGTTTGAAATCATTTCCTCTTCCCCCCTCCTTTTGGTTTTCCCCCCCCTCCCTTCTCGCTGCTTGTTCAGTTACTGTTGTCCATATCCTGAGCTGCATTCTTAGTTTCACCTCGGGCTTTCAACAGAAAACAAGGGCTCTGAAAACAATGCCTTAGGGCCGTTTTTCAGAGTTACGGCCTGTGCAGAATCTCCATGATCATGTGATCAAAATTCAGATGCTTGGCGACTGCTTTATATTTATGACCGTTGCAGTGGCCCAGGGTCATCTGATCCCCGTTTGTGACCTTCCGACAAGCAAAATCAATGGAGAATCCAGATTCACCTAACAACCAGGTTACTAACTTATCAACTACAGTGATTCACTTAACAACGGAGGAAAGAAAGATTGTAAGGGCAAAGCTCCCTTAACAAATGTCCCACTTAACAACAGATATCTTGATCTCAATTGTGGCCGTAAGTTGAGGACTGCTTGTAAAGCCTGATAGGTTTAGTAAAGGGGCTATTAGGAGCATCAAGACTGTGAATGAAACATGTGTAGAACATGGGTCCTCGGAGGACCATGAGGGTGCCCCACCCACATCACCCCATCCATCCTTCGGCCTAGCACAGGACTTACCTTCGCAAGTCCCGCGGGCTGGAACTGAAAGGTAAGGCCAACAATTTTGGCCTGCAGAATGCTTCTGGAGGTGGTGGGGGTAAAAAAAGGGGCACACAGACGCCCCAGGAGGCCAAAAAATGGGCGAAAATGGCCCATTTTTCACCTCCCCTGCCTCTAGAAGATAGCTAGAGAGATAGACAGAGATAGAGAGTGAGAGACAGAGACAGAAGGACAGACAGACAGACAGACAGACAGAGATTTCTTAAGCTCCTTGAGGCTGAGAAGAATTGCTGCAAAACCGAGTTTCCTGAAGTTAGTTAGTTAGTTAGTTAGTTAGTTAGTTAGTTAGTTAGTTAGTTAGTTAGTTAGTTTAATAAACTTATATGCCGCCCAATCCCGAAGGACTCCGGGCGGCTTACATAAAAGACAATTTAAAAAGTACTAAAAAGTTTAAAAGGAAAAGAAAACAAGGCGGTTTAAAACACAACACACTCAACCGTAGTGGGGCTGGACCTCATTCAAGAGGTCAACAGCCCCAGGCCTGCCAGAAAAGCCAGGTCTTAATAGACTTTTTGAAGGCCGCGAGAGTGGGGAGGGTCCGGATCTCTGGGGGTAGATCGTTCCATAGGACCGGAGCAGCTACAGAGAAGGCTCTCCCCTGAGGAGCCGCCAAACGACATTGTCTAGTTGACGGCACCCGGAGAAGGCCCACTCTGTGAGATCTTATTGGTCGCTGGGGGGTATGTGGCAGAAGACGGTCCCGTAGATATCCAGGCCCTAAGCCATGCAGGGCTTTACAGGTAATGACCAGCACCTTGAAGCGCGTTCGGAGACCGATCGGGAGCCAGTGCAGCTCACGGAGGATGGGTGTAACATGGGTGTATCTAGGTACACCCAATATCGCTCGCGCATCTGCATTCTGGACCACTAGACTCCCAAATAACTGAAAAAAACAATCTAGTTAAAAAAAAAGGCAACCGAAAGAGCAACATGCAAACAAAAGCAAATAAAATACCCCCAGGAGCAAAAGAAATTAAAGTTTAATG